ACTCAGTCCAGTCTGCCTCCGATTTTGTCGGAGACTCCTGTGTCATAAGGATCTCTCGGGGTTCGTCAGTCGTTTTCACAGACCACTTCGAAGCGGCAAAGCAACACTTGGGCATCCAATAGTGGTGTAAAAACAATCCGTCGTTATTTTAGGAAACGCCTGAAGGCACCAACTGCTTTAGTCGTAGTTCTGCGGCCAGCAGTCAGGTAACCAACGCTACGACCTGTTGCCTAAATATTCTGCATCGAGACTTTGCCGGAACAAGGTGATCAGCCCCACGGGTTTGGGCTCAGATCAACATCGTTAGCGAACCAAACCATCAAGAAACTAGATAGAGAAGCAGTAGGCGTTGCGATCACCGGAATCATACCTTTACTTGTCTGAGCTTTTGTGCTCTTTCTAGAGTCCATCATCAGAGATAAAAGGCGTAAAGGAAAGACAAGCAACAGCTATAGGACGCAGGGGCCAATCAACAGTTATGGAGGGGAGGGGGAAAGGGGGATAGAGGGGGAGGGTTGGACAGTCAACCACAAGTGCCATCACTCCGGAGATGCCTGCGCAGCGCGATGTATGCCGGCGCCAGATCGGTAAATCGATTGATTGAGTTCTCATCCGAGGCCCAGGCTCCAATCAATTCGCTCAGACAAGTAAAAGTATGATTCCAGTGATCGCAACGCCTTCTACTTCTCTATCTGCACACATACCTGGGAACATTTGCCTCAATTCACTAAGAAACTCTCCGGTTAGTTGTGGGCAACTGGGGTCACACTATAGCAATTAACGCTTCGTCCAAAGACTCCCAAGCCCTCGTCGCATCAAACACGGCGCCCAGCGGTTAAGGCGGAAGTTATTAAATGAAGTGGGCATCTGGTTGCATGGGAACTGCGTGCTACAAATAATGCACACTTTTTGCTTCCAGCATCCTTTATCTGTAACTGACTCTGTTTATCGGTCCAAGTGAGAGTCCAAAAAGTCAGGTAAGTAAACTTCCCGATCAAATAATCACACTTTTTTCCTGGGCTTACTATATGTTGCATGTGTAAAAGCACCGATGCCCTTGTCGATATTATTTTTTCTGATGACCTCACTAGAACATTGGATTTAAAGACTGCAGAGGATTGATTCTACGGCTGTTGTGCTGTCGACCTAACTAGATAGCACCAGAATGCCCGTTGAGTAAGATATTATAGATCACAACTAATCTGAAACTCCAATGGATCTGGAGTGCACATTAGAATGTTATATGATGGTATATATTTAATTGTCCGTCAAAGGTGTTTTTTTTATTTTTAAACTGGTTTCAAATTATTTTTGTATCTGCCAACTTTTCAAAATTTCCAGGGACCTGTTGTGACCTTCGTGGGGTCACCTGTCGGTTCCAAAACCGTCTTACTCATGTTAAGGGTAACAACTACTCGCAAAGAATCGATTTTTGGTAGCAGTATAAGATATGAATCACCAGGAAACTAAACCCGCAGAGTTCTCAAATATGTGACTGGTGCTTATAGGGGTTAAACGGCTAGAGCGATATGGGGATGCAAGAGAGAAAATAAATCAAAACAAAAATAGGAAGTATGAAATGCCCATATATAGTAACGACAACACGTGTGATAATAGGAAAATAAATTTCAATGTAAAAATAATAAACTAAATTAGTTAAATTTAATTAATTAATAAACTAATAAATCAAAAAATAAATTACCATTCCCATCGATCGCTACTACAGAATTCTTGGGTTCTGGCTTCCGTGGTAATGCATGGAATAGACTGTTACCGATTTTTTTAATGCCAATATCTACTTTTACCTTTTAGGTTTCTTACAACTAAATAGACACGTCTTTGTACGAAAATGTTTGATCCCTGAATACGTTGGGTGCTTCGAGTGGATCCAATACATTGTTAGCGTATGCCAAATCCGTGGTTAATTATACTCATATAGGAAGGTAGTTGCTTTGAATAGTGCTGATAAAACACACGATTCATCCTCACCACTGGTTACCCACTCACGTTAGCATTTTCCATGAAAAGCATTTATCCCTTTGTCGAAACTTTCAAATCTTTCAAGGGCTCGCCCTGCAGAGTTTTGCATCCCTCTATCTCGTCAGCAGTTCACTTTTCACTGAAGCTAAATTGAGCTTATGAAATGTCGGTTTGTGAGTGCAGAGTCAATAGTTCAAGGCTTATATCGCCGAAATGATACTGTTCAGAGACACTAAGGCTGATTATTGTTACTAGTCGTGAAACCGCGTCGATACAATCGGCCCTTACTGCGAGCGCTCCTAGATTCCCACGGTCTTCAGCTCGCCGTTAACTCGGTTAGCGCAGGTTCAGAAATATTGTTAAAATTCAACTTTTTTTCCTATATTCCGCGCGCCAGCCTCAGACTTCTGGGGACGGGATTGCCAGTAAACTTCCAGGAGATAAATTGGCTTCCGCAGTTTCCAGGGTCTGAGCGCGAGAACACCAGAAATAATTCAATTAAGCTTGCGTCTAACCCCAATTCTGCAATCTGATCCAGCAAAGGTTGCTCGTCAACTCTGCCCTCCCTCTTTACCCCGGCTTTTGGTTTGGAAATTCGTTATTTTCGACATTTGCTCTCGAGGGAGGCAGTTGCCTTCGTTTGCTTCCATTCCTCCATACGTGGCCCGTAGCAATGTCTAGAGTGAACGGAGGATCCCAGTGTGTAGTCGCGTGTCCGGAGAGGAAGTGCGTAAAACAAGGCAGATGCGTCTGTCTAGTTTTGACATCAATCATATATCAAAACCTTATTGCAGTTAACATTGCACGACATTTATAGTTCTTATAGTCCGCGTGCGTTATATAATTATTCACTTCTATAGCCAACGCTTGGGGTCTTATTTGGTGCGGTGATGACTCGATACTTCGCGATCGACTTCTTAGTTGGCGCGATTTCCTTGTCCGTGTTGCATGCAGGCTTGGTAATTGCGCGATAAGTATGCTCGCTGTCTTCAGAGTTGTTACTGCGCCCAGCCCTTCCCATGTGATTGATTCTCTTGATCAGACAATGACTCAGTACGCAGTATGGGAATGGAAAATCGTTGCGTTTGTTGGTGGACTAGGGGCCTGAGAACCGTGACTCGAGCAGCTCGCGGCTCACGCGGTTGCAACCTCTTGCGAGTATTTCGGCTTCTAATATAAGTGAACATGCGAGCCCCAGGAAGTAATTGAGAAGAAGACGACTCGATCGCTGGAACAGCACTTTTATTCGCCTGACGTTTCGACATCCATCGCGGATTCAGCATCAGCGACGTTAACAGAAAACAGAAGCAGAAACGGGTAAAAGATGCACAGGGGTTTGCAATATTTATAGGACACAGTCATTACTACAAACATGCAACGACAATAAGCGTTAATTGCTTTCATGTACGCGGCTAGTTTGTTGGTCGGCATGCGGGCTCTGACCCGTTGACCTTTCACCACGCGTGGAGGACTCAGGTGTGATGATTGCTCGGTCATTTGGCCCTCCAAGTGCAGATTTGCTTTGGCAAAATTGAGTCTCAGCAGCGAATATGGATTGGA